GCTACCTGTCTAGCAAACATCGCGCACCGTTGCCACCTATTTGCTAATATTCATAACATATGCCCCAACCGGCTCCAATGGGCGACCGCGGTTACCTACATCACGAATAAACTGAACCCGACAAATTCCGTTACAACCCTCAGTAGAAAATAATTTGAGTTTGAACGCAATATATATATATATATATATATATATATATATAATACGTAGTGTTTGAATGACTGGACAAAATTCCCCTGAACACACACGGCCGGTTTCGCGGCTCTTGCCGTTCGTCAGGCATGCTGGCAGCGGGAATATAAAATAATGTTCAATGATGAAAAGCGGTGCTAGGGGTGGAGAACGAAAACACCGGAGACTGTTATTGGAAACGCTGTCTGACACGGAACCAGATCCAGTGGAAGTAACAGGATGACATATTCGGACAATTGAAAAAGGAAGAGGTAGGTTGGCTCTAGCTTGAAACGGCAACAACGATACGTAACTGTGCAACGAAAAGAACCGTGAACAACGGGAACGCACTAGCCAGTGAAAGATTGAAACACAAACTAAACACGGCCAGATGCAATGAGAAACGGAAAAGCGATACGTAAGCGCCAAAATACGTACCCAAGGTTTGAGGAAAACAACTTCCTCCGTAGCATCTTTTCTTTTGACAAAAAGAAATCCCGTTTCCTGAAAGGCTCGCCTTTGTCATTGGTTGAAAAAGAAAAAGCAGAGAACGTTAGTGAATTGTGTAATATAGATGACGTGGTGGTCAAGCCTCTAGATGTCGAATCAGAAGTCACTTCTATGAAAACGGGTTCTGGGGTTCATGTTTGAAGTTCCTGACCAATACGAAATCAGGAAAAACACACTTAGATTTCTGAAATTTGTTTCCGTCTATGTAGGATACTACGGCAGGAAGAACTATTGCTTGGAGTGCTCAATACAATGCGGAGTCAAAATCCAGTAAGGGGAGGGGGGACGGCGCGAAAGTATAAACGACGAGAACACTTACTCGAGAAGCTTCCAATTTGTAGTACCCATATGAAATAAGGTGGGCCAATATTTGTCAGAATTTTGATTTACTTCGATCTGCCAAAAACGTAAACGTGAATGGGCGGTGAAAGCGGAAGTTATTGGAGAAGAAAAGTGGAAAAGTTGAAATTACTGGAGCGAGCGAAGTGCGACCAAAGCAAAAATATTAGATATTCTTGAGCAAAGTCTCCTCGTATGATAAACCCACCTCACATCTGTTAGGCACCTAGGTAATATCCCTTGATCATGATCTTACTTAGTCTGTACACTGTTTTTGATTAGGATTTTATTACAAATTTCTTCACCTACAACTGTATTCTGTGCTGCTCAATTCTGTCAAAAATTTTAGATATGTTTGCATTTGATCTCTTTTTCTGAAATATCCCTTGGTCTACTGGTCAAAGACATCAAACTGATACACTTAATCTTGTATCTATGTCGTCGCTCGTCTAGCTATCACCAAATTTATGCGTTCCACATTCCAGCATCTATTTGAACTAATAAATGCATGCCTATCCTCCGTGGAACTCTAGCATTCCAGATTATTCTGCAATTCCAAACGTGTTTACCATGAACTGAACTGGATTGACTGTTGTCTTTGTTTCAACATATTTGTACTTGATTTTCCTGTTTTGCTACTTCAGCTGAGTGGCTGCCGTTGAATATTCACTTTTATTTGTCATCATTGAGTCCCGCCCGTACTGCAAACAACTCACGGTATAACTCTCCCCATGACAAAGAAACAAGATCACGATGTGCTTGTGGTAGACATACTTTTGGGTTAGTTGAGGAAAAATAGATGAATTTTCTTGACAGCTTCAAAACAGGAGTGTTCGGCTAGCCAAAGCTTGATTCACAAGGAGTGGTGTGTGAAAATCCCAATCCGTTGGGGGACGGTGTTCGTTAGTTTGATTCACGGATTTGAGACTTTTCCGCAGCTACGAACGTGTCATTTTTCCTTAGCGAAGGTAAACAACACACAGCTGTTTATGTTGCCTGTATGGAAAGATAAAGCTCCATGATTCACTTGAGGGTGGCATATTGCCAGGTTGTTCAAACCACAACCGAAGCCTTCAGTTGACCAAAGTCTGACCCACAAGAGAGTGAAAACCGCAATCTATCGGGGGTCGGTTCATCGGTTCAGACACTGTTTGAATGGGACAAACGTTCAAGGTGCCAATATACATTGGCGCTGAATCAAGCCGGCAACCACCGCCAAACTAGGAAAGGTGTGGATATGGTTCATATGTCTCGACTTGGTTGGTTCGGAATCAGGGTTTTCCGCTAACCAACAAGGTGAACTGTCAGTGGTCCGCCAACCCGGTTATAGATCCGGATGCTGGCTTTTTGTCCTCTCACTTCGGTGGGAAAACACCACCATGCGAAGGCACTCAGAAGGGCACTACAGACTATTTGAGACAGTTGGTACAATGAAATGAATACCTGAATTGACTCGAATAAGCCAGTCGCTGTGCTCTTTACGTTTACTTGCTTTGATTAGGCTAATATCATTCGAGCACGACCGTGGGTATACATTACTCCCAAACTGATGGGTATTTTTTCTCCCGTAACATGCAAGTCGCTCACATGTACTGCGAGATCGTTGTCAGAGTGATGCAACACATAGTTTCTACTTCATCCATTCTGATGTAGCCCAAGTAGCCATCTGCGGTATTGGATTACTTTGCTTCACCGCCAATTCACACTAAATGAAAGCCGAGATAGGGAGTGAAACCAAATCAATAGAGACGAATTTCAGAACACAGCGTTCGGTATTGCTGGATTAATGGTATATCTTCGTATGTTGAACAGTTTGGACTCAAACAAGGGTGAAAGACACCACCTCTAAAATATCTAAAGCGACATCTGTCTTCTTCCTTCTAAACCAAACAAGACTAAGCATTGTTTCCTTGACGTGGTATTAGGACAAAAAAGCAAACAGAAAAAAGGGGAATGGATTGCATTTGCTTAGCTCAATCATTGGTCAACAAGGCTGAACAGCAGAAATTCGATTGATTGAACACCCATAAATCGTGAAATCATGACGTACCCAAGACAGTTCGTCCAGGCTGTTAGTGGGAAAGATCAACGTATCTCGGCTGGTGATCAGCTCTTTTGTGGCCTGTAGGGGGAAAACGTGAATGATTGGCAGAAGTAAGTGCGACATTAGAAAATAGTACGTTATCAGATCGCAGTTAGTGGTTATTGTTTTACAAAACACTAACCTGTAAGCCTAAACGCAAATCTCTACGCATGAAAGTCGATTTGACACGTTCACACTGAAGCTCTGCCTTCATTATGCATGTGATTACGACACATTTTTAGATTCACGGGCAGTATCCCAAATAGGACTCTCACTTACCCTAAGCTTAGCGCGCATTTCGGAAAGAACAACGCGACCGGTATCCGCATCTACGGCACACAGTCGTCGAGGCCTCGTGGCCAGAACGTATAAATGGCGTAGTGCTTGGAGATGATACCTGCACAGAAAAAATAGTTTATTGTCCGAACGAAGAGTGATGAAGGTTATTTTAGTAGTTACAAACAAAGAACATTATGGTCATTGGTACAACAACAAAATCACCTGTTTCATAAGCGTGGTAATGTTAAAAGCAACAAGAAGTCGAGGGGGAAGGGAGGTAAACAACCGAAAGTGTACCATTTCCCGTATCCAGTTGTCTCCGTGGCGAGGTCAATTACAAACCCCAGAATGAGATAAGTGGCAGTATCCGTGTAAAAAAATTACAGATTCATACACGCAGTAGACGGATCCAGCTGCCTGTAAAAGGTTGGTTATATACTGCGGCAGTTCGGACAATGGTACTATACTGCGCGGAGACCTGACCAGTCGTAAAACCGGATAAAGATAAACGGTCAGAGTTCGAACACCGCTGTCTACGCATCACTGCACGAATCTGGTGGGACAAATGGACAATTACTGCTGAGATCAGATGACGAGATTTAGGTAATCACGGTCACGATCGAAGTGAGGGCGGATTTCCATAGATTACATTGGATAAGACATGTGTTGCGCACGTCACAGAGTAGATTGACACGGTTTGTGACTTTTTCCGAGCCGGTTAATGGGGGGAATAAAGTCAAGGACAGTCAAACTAACACCTCGCGTGAGGATATGAATCCCTGACAAAGAGACTTGCTCACATAGTTTGTCCTAGAATTCTTGGATAGGAAACTCAGAATGAGCGTAATCAACCGTTAGAAACATTGGATGATATGGCTGAGTGTAACACACAGGGGCGCTAGTGAATCTACTCAATGACGTTGCGACCTTCCCCCTCATGAATTCTCTGTTGTCATCCTGATACAGGTCTGAATCTTCCATATAAACCTTCATTCAAATGAGCAGCCACAAACGCAACCAAATAATAGATAATAATGTATACGAGTGTTATTTCTTTTGTGTTTCATGGACTGAAATATAGAATTGTTGGCAAAGTGATAGTATTGTATGAACGCACCAATTGTCGCCAGGATGGTCCGGCAGAATCGGGAAGAACGATATGCAAAGAATGGCTGCTGCTTCTGGGGTGTTCGATAGTGTCAACCTGGAACAAAACGTTGCACAAAATGTAGCCGGGAAAAGAAGGATGACAGTTCGGGTGCATTTCAAGGGGAGTTTAACGTACCGTCCACCTCCCAAGAATAACAATCCGATCACAGAGGCATAAACCATTTGCAGACCGAATGAGGGACCCAGTGCAGTGCCAAATACTGCAGCCACAGAAACAGGACCGCCGGAAATACTGCCAGACGAACCGCTAGCAGCAGCGGCCGCGGCCGCCTGGTGCGTACCGGCAGCCCGTGCGGCAGCAGCAGGAACCGCGTTGAAGCGAGACGACACATTGTTTGTGGTCCCGCGAGACTGCTGGGTCTGGTCTGTTTTGGCACGAAAAAAACGAATAGCACGCAGTTGCCGAACCAGGCGAAGTATGGTCAGGTTGCCTGAACCGGCCACGACCATGGCAAGTGCCAGAAGACAATGAGAAACTGCGAATTCAATGGAGGGTTTTGGGAGAATGACCCCACTAGATGAAGAGTTGTTGCTATCACGTGTCGACGCATACGGAGGCCACCAGTTGTCATTGAGAATACTTTGAACTAAGTCAAACTGTGAACAGAGGGGGAAAAGCGTACAGGGTGAATCTAAGCTGAGCCAATAAATTTAAAATTTTAAAGAGGGCCAACTGCAACGACATAAAAGGCCGGAAACAAAAAATTACGCATTTTACTGAAAAGTTTCCACAAAAGTGATATAAACACGCTCCAAACATTAATCCGATCTCTTCTCGACCGCCCATACAAACGTGCAGTCACTGTGAACATCGAAAAGTGAGCTTTCGTCGTCCTCTACCTCGAAGGACAAATGCGACAGATACAGATATTGATCAAACTCGTGTAACATCCTGACTTTCATTAAATTTGCTACACTCAAAGCTTAATGTTCCGAGCCATCAACACACAAGTATGATAATGGAAACGGAAATGTATTTCAGAAACGAGTCATTTTGCACGGGTTTGATTAACACCTGCATATCCAACAAAATGTGATGTTACAATAGGTAACTTTACGGTTCACATATTTAATATCACTTTCTCCTATTTCTTCAACTACAGGCCGATCCATATTACATACCTGTCCTTATTCGACATACATTACGAGCTGGACAGCAAATGACGAGGTTAGCTTCAACGCATTTTACTACAGGATGGCGAGGATTATCAAAAATTTATTTTCGAGTAACTTCCATCGCAACAGTCATAAGACAAGCAGGGCGAAACATGATAAAGTC